TCATGTGCTTCGATAATCTTTTAACAATATGAAAAACTAAGTAATTTATGACTAACTATAGCTAAAAAATATATAAAGTATTTCTAATTTCTTTAAATGTTGAATGAGATTGCTAGTGGTACAAATTGAAAATAAAAAAGGTGAAGTATAGATGAAAATAAAATGAAATTTTTGGTTTTTTCGGTATTACCGAGTACCAAACCGAAATAATTTCGGTATTAACCATACCGAACCGATATAATGCGGTTCGGTATTCGGTACAAATATAATTTTACTGAAATTTCGGTAAACCAAAATTTCGGTTCGGTTCGGTACGATTTTACCGAATGAACACCCCTAGTCAAGAGGCTAACACGGCCCACTCTTTAAAGATTAAGGCAATGCCTGCCCTAAAGAAGTGGACAAAGGTCCTCCGGACAAGATCAAGACAATAGGGAGAGGGGAATATTTGTCCTTAAGCCAATAACCTGTTGTGGAAGGAAAGATCAAGGGAAGAGAATGAGAACTCCCTAGCCCAAACCCAACCATCGTAGAATATATTGATAAGATGGTGGTTGGGGAAGTCTCCTATAAAAGGAGGAGGAACGAAACATTGAAAGGCATCTTATAACCGAGAGAGAAAGTGATATATTAAGTGATAAAAGAATATTCCGACGTCCTTTAAAATATTCCGATCCTAAGACAAATAAACTAGAGAAGGGGATGTCGGTTTGAGCCCATTTATTGTGTGCGGTCAATATTTATTATTTATTTACACTTATATTCCCACTCTTTTACTGCACCAAGGCTTAGACCATTGATATTTGAATCTTGGACTATCCAATACTCTAAGGGGAAAATATTAGCGATCCATTAGGAGTATATTAACAGTGTGGTGTAAGAGTATACTATACGTTAGAAGTGTAATGGAAAAATGATGACAGTGTAATATGTCAGTATGATTAACCAAACGTCAATGATTCGCGAAGGCACTCTGGTGGCCAGCGGTGATAGCGTGGTAGTTAGTAGTTACAATGTGACAGTGTGGTGAGTGTGGATGTGTAACAATAGTAGTGTAAACTTCTATTTTGGTCTACAAAGACTTATGACTCTTATTTTAGTATTTTCATAGTTTTTACTCCTCTATAAGGAGTTCTCCCGAAGTGTAATTCATTTGGAGACGAAGGAGTATTTTTCTCTCTCATCTAATCTCTTGGGTTGAATAAGCTACCATGGTCGTCCCGTAGCTCTATCTACTCTTTGCAGGCTTTTTGTTAAAGTATAACAAATATATTGGGCTTACATTAAAAAATTAGTTTTCCCTATGTTAACTTTTCCCACATCTCTAGCTTCGAATACTGAAGATCTAAAGGATCGTTACGCAATGCTTTCACGGTTCGTATTTGTATGGGAAATTAGAACCAAATGAGCTTTTACCCTTATGTTCCCTCATGTTCTCGTTGAGCTTATCTTAAAACACTTGCGTTATCTTTTAATAGATGTGCCGCCCTAGCCAAACTTTCTGCCTAATAATGTCTTCAGCACGGATCAACTTGCAAGCGGTCTTTAGTTCTAAAAAGAAAGACAATTCCATCTCCGATTCACAAAGTAAAATATCGTAGAAAGTAGTGGTATTTCACTTTCCCGGACAAGGCTCGTGCAAAATCATACTCCCTCCGTCCATTTTAAATGTTCAGGGTTTGACCGGGCACGGAGATTAAGAAATGTTAAATTTTACATTGACTTTCCAATTATGCCCTCCCAACTGTCACCCACTACTCACTCCCTCAATGTCCGATCGGACATCTTCAATCGCCGGCAATGCCCCGCCGCATAGCCCTATCATTCCAAAATCAAAGAGCAAGAATCGTACCACGGATCTTCCCAAGAGAATTTCCCCTTGATTTTGTGGTCCATTTTTTATGATTTTTGGTTCCTTGGATTCGCATATCCATGTAGAAGACTAATTTCAGCTCAATCTCGAAGATTTGTGGAGGAATTCAACTCAATTGAAGGTCAACCCTAGCGCAGACACTGTTCACAGCGGCACTTGCAGGGCTGAATTCCTTTGGTTTGCAGCTGTTTTGAACTCCATTTTTTGAGGTATTGTGAGCGACTTGGAGTGCCTAATCACATTCTTAAGTTTATGGAGCAATTCCAACAAGAATTTGTGATTTTTGGCTCAAATTGGAATTTTGGGTACTGTATCCATCACATAGATCTGAATTATATTTTTAAGATTTGGACCAAATCCGAATAGTCTGAAGAAGAAAATGAAGAATCCGAAGAAGAAAACGAAGAATCTGAAGAAGAAGAAGAAAGAAGAAGAAGAAGAAGAAGAAGAAGAAGAAGAAGAAGAAGAAGGGGAAAAGAAGAAGAAGAAGAAGAAGAAGAAGAAGAAGAAGAAGAAGAAGAAGAGAAAAGAAGAAGGGAAGAGAGGAGGAAGAAATCTGGAAAAAGAAAGAAGAGAAAAGATAGAGTGGAAAGAAGAGAGGAGAAACAAAGGGGAGAAGAAGAAGATGGACGGCTGGGAATGGAGAAGGAAAGAACAAAAAAGAGGGAAAGAAGAAAAGAGAGAAGAAAAAAGAAAAAAAAGATGGAAAAAGGTTGGGTGGGGAGGCGGTGAAGAGTGGAGGAAAAGAGAGAAAGAAGAGGATAGAAATAAAGTGAGAGTAATTAGGTCTTTTGACATAAAAAAGATTACCAAAAAAGGAAACACGAACTTTATTTGTGGACGGACTAAAAAGGAAAGTACGAACATTAAAAATGGACGGAGGGAGTATCTCGCTTAGTTGCTTGCATGTGAGGGAGCGTGTTCGAGTGTAAAACATATCATGACTCTACAACCACGAGCTCAAGCTCGTGGTTGTAAGCCCATGATATATTTTATACTCTAACATGTTTGTAATACCCCGTGTTAATATGGAAAAGAAAAGAGCTCAAAAAGATTGATTAATGAACACAAACCTTAGAAATGAACACAAACCTATCTTTGATTCATTAAATATCTTTCATTTTTCAATAATTTTTATAGTTTTTTTATGAACACAAACCTTAAAAATGTTTTAAACATCGAAAGAGTAAAAATAAGGAAAAAAGATTAAAATATGAGTAAAACATTGAAAATATATCAAAATAGGAGTTTCATAATTTTATTTTCGAAATATGAGTTAAAATATGTTTACATTACTAATCATGATCATGTACATTACCTAAAATGCAAATACACAGTATCACATTACCAGAGTGCGAACTCCGGTTTAATGAATAAAAATATGAATCTTATATTTTGATACTTTCTCTATGTTTTAGTTATATTCTTTAAAAATAATATTCCACGTTATGTTGATTTCTGGCCGTTACTGCGGAGATACGGAGTATTATACTTTTTTCCGACTCAAAATATTTGTCACATGATGACGAAGTAAAATAAAAATAAAATTTATATATTTAAAAAACTACGTAAAAAACTTTTCAAAACAAAAGGTGACAAAAAAATTTAGTCATAACAAACATCATATATAGAGAAAGTCATTATCCCTCACAGACAATTATTATTTGTACAAATATGTAAAGCATTTGATATCAGATTTTAATGTTAAAGTGTCAAACACACTGAAATACAGAGTTAATTCCCAATATATGTAAAAAATAAAATCACATTCCTGGCAGAACTTTTTTTCCTGGTAGTGCAACACGGAGTTGGCTACTCCGTTTAATTTCGAAATTTTCATGCTGGCTACTCCGTTCAACGTGCATTAATTTCCTACACGGAGTAGCCTACTCCGTTCGTATTCAATTAGTGCAGATCCTCCCCATCCACTCCTTTACAATCTTATCCTGGCCAAAAAAAATTGAGAGAGAAGAAACTTACGGGAAAGGAAAAGGACGAGGGACGAGGACGGAGAGGAGGAGAAACGCAAGAGGTCCGACGAGGACGATGCCCAAAGTGACCGGCCTAGCTGACTCCGTTTTTGTGCGTAGGTATTTGGTTTTATTTCCCTTTATTTTTTTGTTAAATTTGTCTCAATGATATGTTTATACAAGATTTTGAATTTGTGCGTAGGTATTTGGTTTTATTTTTTTGTTAAATTTCTATCAATGATGTTGTTTATACAAGATTTAGAATTTTGTGCTTGAAGGTATCATACGATTTTTTTTGTTAAGTTTGTTCCAATGATGTTGTAGTTGGTCTATACAAGATTTAGAATTTTGTGAAAATATTGACAAATATATAGTTTAATTTTATAAATTTGATATTGTAAAATATTTATTTAGTCATAGATTGTATGTATAAGTGGTTACTTCATGATTTTTTTGGATTAAAATTGTCTTTGTTATATTTTTATTTGATAGAATTAGGATGAGGTATGGACAACTGGATTGGGCTATAAGACACTTGAGCTGAATCGCATTAAAAGATTGAATCCAATCGATTAGTTAGTTAAACTCAAGATCTCATATACCGATAACTTTTCTATTCAACTTCTGATGTGGGACAAACTCTAACACTCCCCGTCAAGTGGACAACCGGGCCATTTTGAATCTAACCGGTTGACTACTTGCAAATGAACTCCAAACCCTTGACTTTTTTTTAGCGCCAACACCTAAAGACCACGAGCTGCTGGGTATGGACTTCCAGACTAGCAATCGTGTTAAACGGGCCACAGGCCGTTGGTTACATACTCCATACGGACAACTGGGCAAAAGACAAATGGGCCGCTAGGAATGAACGTCTAGACGGACAACTTGACAAACGAGGTGGGCCAAAACCTGCTCCGATACCATGATAAAATTTAGGATGGGGTATGGACAACTGGATTGGGCTATAAGACACTTGAGCTGAACCGCATTAAAAGATTGAATCCAATCGATTATTTAGTTAAACTCAAAAGCTTTTAAACGAATCCCGGGAAATTGGCTCTGATACCATGTAGAAATTTGTAAAAGGTTGAATCCAATTGATTAGTTCGTTAAACTCAAGAGCTTATATACCAATAACTTTTCTATTCAACTTCCGATGTGGGATAAACTCTAACATTATTAATTAAATATATTGTTATGTTGTAATCCTTGAAGCAAATGAATCTACATCCGGGACCTATTTTACGTGATGTTTTAGTACTTGAAGTGGGAGACCATAGGTGTGATGCGGTTTAGCAGGACGAAGAATATGCTAAAAATATATTAAAGTGTCACAGGACTTGTACTAGTTTGTATTCGAGGACTCTTATTGTTAACAGACCAGTTCGTGTGATTGAGTTCTTACGAGAATACGGATTTTATGAGGTTGAGAAAGTTGGTGGCTTGCAGTTGGACTGGGCTTTGATCACTTCTCTAGTGGAGAGATGGAGACCCGAGACCCATTCATTCCATCTTTCCTTTGGAGAGGTTGGAATTACATTACAGGATATATAGGTTTTACTTGGATTGCCCCTAGATGACAATCCATTGGCGGGGATGACTGGCCGATCCAGAGATAAGTGGATTCATATTTTTGAGGACATGATGGGATTTAGGCCTCAAACATCCGAATTTACGTCTACTATAATTAAGATGTCAGCCATTGTTCCTAAGCAACTAATAGATCATAGTTTAGATGTAGATTACTTGCAGCATGCTAGAGCCATTATGTTTAAGTTGTTGGGTGGTAACCTATTTCCCAACACGATAGGAAATAAGGTTAGTTTGTATCTTTTAGAGATTATCATGGGTGACACAAACATTGTACGAGGTCGTGCGATTGGTTCAGTAGTACTCAGTTTCTTGTACCGTAGTATGTGTCGTGCTAGTGCGATGAGTGCAGCACAGATTGGAGGTTGTCTAGTCTTGTTACAGCTTTGGGCTTGGGAGCGTCTGCCTATGACTAGACCTAGAGGGATTATACCATTGGATCAGCTGGTAGATGTCCCATATGGAGTCAGGTATTTATAGTTTATTTATGTATATTATAAAATCATATTGTATGTTTCATTCATGGCTGTGCATAATCATTTTTACTTGTAGATGGGTGTGTTACCATCGATGGTCAGATTGTACCACACACTCCATACGAGCATACAGGGACCAGCTAGACAGATTGCTCGAGGGAGAGGTGAGTATTCATAATATCATAATGTTATATACATATATATTTTTGTTTTAATGTGTGTCTTATTAGTTGTTTATTTATGCAGTTTGTTTGGATGCCGTATCTGAATCTCGAGACCCTATCGCCTGCCCTATTGTTCAGCTGGAGTCAGAATATGGATTTCAAGAAGGGATATACTCTGTGGTGGTGGATGGGTCGTCCAACATTGCTCAGCGGGAGACATTTACGGTGAACTTAAATGCACGAACATGTAGCTGTGGTCAACGGGTAACATTTCACATCCCGTGCAGTCATGTCCACACAGTATGTCATTACTGTAGTGTCACCGTGGATCATTTAATTCCAAATGTTTTTTCAATTCACTCCTACATCAATGCTTACTCTGGCATCATAATGTTGCTTCCATCATGAATGGCCTACTCCAGACTACGAGATACTGAGGCCAACGCCAAGACAGAGCACACAAACCGGCCGACCTACGAGAACCCGCTATCCGAATAACATGGACTATCGACCACGGAGACATCGCAGTGATGAATAGCTATGTTATGAATTTCAATTATGTCTAAGTTTATGTATTATTAAATTTTACAAATAAGTTAGTCATGGATTGTTTATTGTCTTCTTCTTTTTATGAATAAATTGTTATATGTACTCTAGCAATAAAGTTATTGTATTTTTATATAATTTCCAAGTAACAAAAATTAATCGATTTCGTTTAGAAACTAAAAATTAAAAAAATATTTAATAAAATATTTTTTAAAAAAGTTAGAAAGGTTTAAAGCAAAAAAAATTGAAACAAACTACAACCATTTGATTAGGAAAATTATAATTGGAACAAAAAATTGGGAAAAAAATTTGAACAAAAAAATTTGGAACAAAAATTGGAACAACAAAGCAAGAAACTCCATTTAAACAACAAAGCAACAAAGCAAAATAATTTGGAACAAAAACCGGAACCTAAATTTGAAACAAAAAATAATACGGAGTAGGTAACTCCGTTTGTCAATAAAAAAGACTAAAAAGGAGTAGCCAACTCCGATCGGTATTATTTGGGGAAATCAAAGATTAAAAAAGCATATAAAGGAATGAAATGCAACCAATCTACACGGGTAGGGAATTCACCCGTACTATTGCGTTATTACATTTTCAATCAATACTCTCCTCATTCCAATATAAGCTTCGGGGTTTAGCTTCATGGAGGGAAAGAAAAGTGAAAAATCAAAAAATGTATTTAGAGTAGAGAAAAAACTCTTGAGCCACAAATTTTATTCTTTAATAGGAAAAAGAAGATTTTGACAAGAAAAAGAAAAGTGTGGAATTCAGTTTAGATTATTTTTCTTATATATTTAAGAGATACTGTATTTTTTATCAAACACTCGAATGGGGTGGACCTAGGGGGGTCAAGTGGGATCAATTGACCCTGTTAGAAAAAATAGATAGTACCGGTGGGGTTCCAATGTCTGACATTGGAACTTCACCCGACATGAGATGCTTCGGAGGTGCTCCGGTACCGCGTTCGTAAAATTGATGGTTCTTACCTTCCCTAACTTCCCTAGTAAGTCCCTCCACCCCGTCCCGACCTGAAACCCCCCCCCCCTCAATTGAACCCAACAAGTTGCTTTTGACTTTGGAGTGCATAAATATACAGTGTAAATGTTTGGGGTTGTGTGGCAGGTGAAGGAAAATTAAAATCTCTCATTCAATGCTCCCAACTAAACTAAAGTGAAGCCATTCAATTCCCATGCAGACCTTCCCACTGGTCCACCCATTCTTCCATGCATTTGGTACCTGATCACTTTTCTTTTTCTTTTTTCTTTCTTTTTTAATCTGTCAACCCCCCCATGCTAGGGTCAAGGTATTGTGAAAAGAGATCTTCACCTGGTTTTTATCTGAATGGAATAAATTTTGATTTGATGTGGTTATATTATAGCGATATTTAAAGTTGTTTTTTATGTGATTCTAATAAGAATAACTTGAAGACAAGAAACTCTTAATCTTACACACTCATAAATGGAGTCATATTTTACAAATTTTTAAATTTAGTGGGTAATACTATTGAAATCATTGAGTATAGGTATAAAGCTATTTTTTCAATTTAAATGTTGTGGTAAATAAGTTGAACAAACACTCAACTTGCTTGTGACGCTTTTATTGAAAATATATTTTGAGACAAAGAACTATTTTTGGGACAGAAAAAAGTTTAGAAATAAGATTCTTTTTAAGGGTAGACTAAAAGTTTTTTTTTTTGAAATTTAAAATTGCTCTAAAAATGAGTTTGTATGTAACATATTATAAGTAGAACTTACTCTTTTCTTTAACTACTCATTTATTTCAAAACAAAATACTCCTTAACAAACCTTTTCTTTTTGTTTTGCTATTTTTGCCTATCATTCATTCTCACTTGTTTCAGACATTAAATGATCCAAGTGTTTTGCAACAGTAGTGTCTGTTAGATGTAAATGTGTAAGTTCCTCTGGATGTATTGAAAAACTGAGAGAAAAAACAAACATTATGAGTGGTTTAGGTGTAGAAGAAGAAGAAGGTCTGGGAAGGGCTACTTCTTCTTATGGCTATTATGCCTACCACAGGAGATCAAGAAGGTGTGTACCTTAGCTTAAAGCTTTGTTTCTTCTTCCTTTTTCTTCCCCTTTCATTCTCATATAGCCCTTGTGTGGATCTGGCTTTAAGTTTGTCATCTTTCCCATTTCAGTGCCTCAGATAAAAACCTGAAAGGATCTGATCAGCTGCAAAAGGACTCCAATGAATCGCATGTAAGCTTCTTGTTTTTTTTTTGATGTTTTTGAGGTGTGTATGGTTAGTTCACAGAGTTTTTAGATGGAAATTCAGTAAACAAATGAGCATTTATTTGAATTTGAAATGTTTCCTCAGGGATTTCCACCTGCGACACGAAGCAGCAGAGCTTCCTTGGAAAGAGATGTAAGTTTAAACAACTTTTTCATTTAGGAGATTAGTTGCAGTAGGAACATACAGACGATTAGCATCGCCTGTGTATACAAATTCACAGACATTTGTCGCCAGTGGTGTCAGCCGTGGTGGGTTTCTAACATTTTTGTCGTTCTTTTTGTCAGATTGAGCTGCTGCAATTGCGCTTGAAGCAAGAACGATCAATGCGGATGTTGCTCGAGAGGGCAATGGGACGAACTTCTAGCACTCTTTCCCCTGGCCATAGACATTTTTCAGCTCAGGTACACAAATCCACACTCAGTAAAATAAAAATACACTTATCTTCAAATCTATTACTCCAGAACAAAGCAAAGTATTGAATTTGTAATATATATACTACCTTCGTCCCTGAGTACTTGTCCAATTTTGACCCCAGTCAACTATTTTCAACTTTGACCTATGATTAAATAAAATTTATATAGTATATTAATTAGACGAAATAAAGTTTTGAAAATGTTATATAAAGTAAATCTGTTAAAAATATTCTTGTATCAATATCTACTATCACTTTTATTTAATTTGAAGCCAGAGTTTGCCAATTTTGATCGAAAAAAGTCAAAAGTGGAAAAATACTCTGGGACAGAGGATGTATATTACTTCTGAATAAAAAAATGTGTTTCTTTGTAACAGACAAAGGAATTGATAGCTGAGATAGAGTTACTTGAGGACGAGGTGGCGAACCGGGAGAAGCATGTTCTTTCTTTATATAGGAGCATTTTTGAGCAATGCACGAGCCGCCCATCATCTTCTGAACAAAGCTCGGTCGCAACTTCTCCAGCACATTCAAAAACAACAGAGTCAAGAAAGAAGCACCCTAGTATAATTTCCAGTGCCTTTTGTTCATCAAAGAAGTTTCCTTTAAGGTCTTCTTTCCAAGCCCTCTCATCCAAGAATGTCTCTGGGAAAAGAAGTTCCCACTCCAAAACGAAAAGTGCTTCGATCTTTAGCTGCGAAAGAGACCAACACATTCAGAAATGTCCATCTGGGAATGAGAAGGTAGTGCAAAGAGCTCCATTGGTAAAGACTCTGAAGGATCATCTCCACCAGTGTCCAAGTAAGTTGTCAGTGGAAATGGTCAAGTGCATGTCAGCAATATACTGCTGGCTACAGAAGACGATTGTTGTCAATACAGGAAAAAGAGAATCAGTCAAAATTCCTTGGCATGATATCAACGAAGAGAAAGACCGGTTCCGTAAATCTACAATTGTAATTTCTTGGATATCAACTGATAAAAGTAACTTCTCCCATGCATCTTATGCAATCAACAACTACAGGTATGATTTTCCAGACACATTACTCCTCTGAATTCTCTGTTACAAATTTATTATATAGAGAACTAATGCATAACCTTTTGGGCATTTAGAGTTATGGTGGAGCAACTGGAAAGGGTGAACATATCTCAGATGGAAACTAATGCAAAGATAGCTTTCTGGATCAACTTATACAATTCCTTAGTCATGCATGTAAATAGTAGTTTCATTCCCCTCTACAAGTGACCATCTTTATGTGTTTCAATTTTAATTCTTCTTTCACATCTCATCGTTGTTTTTTCTTTCTTCCAAAGGCGTTTCTAGCATATGGCATACCACAAAACTCTATTAGAAGGCTGGCTTTGTTTCACAAGGTAGTGGAAGTTATTACATTAGACACTTTCCACCTTTTTAATCTATTTGTGGCAGTCAAGCTAATGAGTATGTGCATCTAGTATATACAGTCTAATTGCTTGTGTGTGTGTGTGTGTGTATTGAAAATAAGCATTCATTTCTCTGTATAGTGCAGGCTGCTTACAACATTGCTGGCCATGCAGTAAGTGCAAATGCCATTGAGCAGACAATCTTTTCCTTGAAGACTCCACGGATGGGATGGGTACTTCCTCTATACCTTTCAATCAAGAAAGTTTCTGAAAGTAATGAAAGAATTGGAATACCAACTACCCTCTTGTTTTCGCAATGTCCTTTAACAGTTAATAAACAATTTCTTGCACCAGAGGCTTTTCTGAGAGAAGCAAGAAGCCGGTTTTCTTCCAAACCGTCAATGATATCAAGCTATTGGTCATGCTCCATCATCTAGAGGTTGATTTTACAATATCAATCTTGTAATGGAACATGACTATAACAAGTAGCTCTATACTAGTTAGGCGTTGATTTTCTTCCGAAATTTTTAGTTTTAACAAAATTATCGACACTATAAACCTCACGTCATGGTTTCAAAAAAAAACCTCACGTCACGGCCTCTAGTTAGTTGAGATTGAGGTGATATAAAAGAAGAATGTTATGAAGCTAGTTTCTTCACATCAGCTTCAATCCTTTGAGTTATACTACTAATCCACCTATAAATTTCTAGTCCTTTAGTTGTTACTAGTCATGCAATTTATACTTTCCTAAATCCATTTTTGGCTTTATAGTGGCTGGAGGCTATCCTTTCAACTGCTATAAGGAAAAAAACTGGAGAAGAAAAAGAGCTAATCAGCTCAAAATTTGGCCTCAAAGAACAACAACCTCTTGTTTGCTTTGCTCTTTGCACAGGAGCTTTTTCTGATCCTATGGTAAGTGCAACCAATTACAGTTTTTCTCAAATCCCTAACGCGGAATTTCTCCTTTGTTGCATCTTGTTAAAGAGGATATAATGAGATGAAATCTCAAAATGTTCATCATATATTACAGGTTTTAAATTTCTACATATTTGTACACCAAAGGCCAATTTCACGTACAAACCTTGTTTTTGTGTTTACATAGACAAAACTGAAATCAGTGCAACTTGGTGTGAGCAAAGCATGACCCACGATGACTTGATATAGTTGTTGTGATTATGTCCCATTTCAAAAAAATATTGTAAAATCGGCATACACATTGAGGGGAATATCGTGTCGATTTGATTGATGTTGGAATCATGATTTTCTTCAAATATTCTCTACATATTGCAGCTAAGAGTATACACGGGATCAAAAGTCAGAGAGGAGCTAGAAACCGCGAAAAGGGAGTTTCTCCAAGCGAATGTGATTGTAAAGAAGTCACAGAAAGTGGTGTTACCAAAGTCACTTGAGAGATATGCAAAGGAAGCTCACATCCCCCCAGACGATCTTTTGAGGTGGATCATGGAAAACGTTGACAAGAAGCTTCGCGATTCAGTACACAATTGCATGGAGCGTAGAGCATGTAAGAAGGCTTCTAGCATCATCCATTGGTCTCCTTACAGTTCAAGATTCCAATATGTGATCTCAAATGATTTAGTTGAGAAACCATGGTATGCTTAGGTGATTTGAAAAAAATGTAGAGGCAGGTAAGCATGTAACAATGATAACAATCCATAATAAACTTGATCATTCTTTTGAGAGAAAACACTACTTTTTTTGCTATCATGGGATTAAGTTCTCCAATCTCTATTGACCACCATACTGATTAATCTCTATTGACCACCATACTTAATTTATGAGTGATTACAATTGAAATTCCTTAGTAATGGATAATAGTGTAATTGAAACTCACCTTCCTCTCTACTGCATGAATCTGTCACCAGACACATTTTTTTCTTCCATCAGCTCTACTGTCCTCGTTTCTTATCTCTTATAAGCCTGTCACAAGTAAATAAATAACAAGCAAAAAGAATCATCTTTTACGTTGTTTTAACTGCGGGTAAATAAGGGACTATACCAAAGTGGCAAATTACACTCCCGTTACTCCTTACTTTCTATGATGTTTTGGGCAGTAAATGGGAAAATGCATCAAGGGTCAAAAACTCAATATTTTAGTGGGATAAGGTTGCGTACGTCTTCACCCCCAAACCCCACGAAGTTGGGATTATACTGAATTTTTTGTTGTTTGTTATCTGGTGTAAAAGATGCTGGAGAAAAAAATGCTGTAAAAGATGGTGTATAAAGCGATCTTGCTCAAAACTAACATAATGTAAGAACCTTGCTATGTAGTAATTTGTTAGACACCCTTAATTCTTGGATACCATATGATAATGGTCTTTGAAAGTATACGAGCTCAATAACTCGTGGAGCAAAAGATGGCGGCAAGCAGAGCCACACTCATTTTTCAGCATTCAAACGACATCCCCGAAAGGGGTATACAAGAATAGAGCAATAACAAGGGGTGTTCCGGAAGCGTGACAGTAAAAATTTGTGGGTCTTGGTTCTTTTTACTTTCAGTAGTACATTGTAATTCAAAACAAATCCAGATACGAAGGAGAATAACATTAACACTGTTTGTTTGGAGGTAGGGGGAGGTAGGGAGAGGTAGATTTAATTTTCTACCTTGTTTGGTAATAAAATTTGAGATAGGTAAAGAGAGGTAGGGGGAGGTAGGGAGAGGTAGGGTTACCTCTGAAATATAGAGGTAATCAAATTTATTTTCCGCTGCTATCCTTCATACCCAAATCGCCTTATCCATAGAAAACCAATCGCCATCTTCATATTGCCATCGCCGTCTTCTGATAGCCATCTCCAACCAGGTATTCCGATTTTTTCTGCTCTGCTTTGTTGTGCGTACACTATGTATTTCTGCTCTGCTACGCGTTGGCCATATTTGTTCTGCACAATACCATACTTCCTTCAATTTTGCTTAAATCACTTTTACAATTAAAAACAAAATTGTAGGAAGAAAAAAAAAGTGAAGTCAAATTGAGGTTCAACCGAATAATTGCCCAGATTTCCACAATACCATGCTTCCTTCATACCAGATTTTGTTTTTTTTTGTGTCCTTTTTTCAATTTTCATTTCACTCTTTTTTTTCTGTTTTTTTGTGGTTTTTTATGTTCTTTTTTTTGGGTTTTTTCTGGTAATTTTTTCTGTTTTTTCTACAATTTTGCATTTTTGAGTCCATCTGTTGTAACACACAGCATTTTTGAGTCCATCTGCATTTTTGGCTTTACCTTCAATTACATTATTAATGGCTTCTGTAGTGAAGGAAATGCAGAGAAGGCACTAGAATTACAATGTTTTGCAGAAAGGTTTTGCACGAGTAAAATCATTTCACTCTTTTTTTTCTGTTTTTTTGTGTGATTTTTTTCTGTTCTTTTTTTGTGCTTTTTTATGGTATTTTTATGTTTTTTCTACACTTGTGCATTTTTGAGTACTCTGTTTTTGTAGTTTAGTTATTGTACTTCATTTTCTGCAGTTTTGTTATTGTACTCTATTTTTTTTGCAATTATATAGACTTGTATGTACTAGTAATTTGAGTTCTTACAGATTAACGTGAATTATGCTAAATTTTTAGGTTCTGATTTGTGGCATCAATGGATGATGATATGCTTGATTATATCTACTTAAATTATATGACAACTTTGTTTTCGGTATTCATATTACTACAAGTATGGTATTTACGCACTAGAAGAGATCGAGCAAGAATTATGGATGAATCAATTTCCTTAGAATCAAAGGATTTGAAAAATGTTGTGCGAGAGGTGTTAACGAATAGACTTATATGTCGAGATATGATACGAATGGGGCCAGATGCGTTTTTGAACTTATGTGGTCTATTAGTGTGTCATGGTGGATTAAAAGCAACGAAGTGGATAAGTATTGAACTAAGTGATTAAACTAAGTGATGAAGAATTTCTTACGAAATCAGTGACTTTAATTACGGATGTAATGAAAACATGTACTTCTGAGTATTTGAAAGAAAAGAATCCGCTACCTCCAGCAGATATATGGAACCTTGTTGGATCGCTGAATTTCGAGGGAAGTCGTAAGAGTCATCCGTACATGTTCCTTTTGGAGAAACATGTGACTGTGAAAGCAATTCTTGGATTACCAGAGGAAGTACGCGAAAGTTTTCTCAATGATGTTCTGAACAAGGAAGGAATCTGAAGTGGACACTATTTTATTTATCATAAGACTTGTGTCTAAATATGTCATTTTTTGTGAACATATGTTACATTTGAAGTCATTGTCCATGTTTTTTTATGTGTGGAAGAACAATGTGTTTGATGCTTTTATTATGAAATGTATGACAACTAAATTTTGATTAGTTGCACTTATATAAGATGATGTTACTTAGAAGTTTCGTCTTAGAGTGTTATCTTAATTTTAAAATTTTACATTATTTTAAATTTATTTAAGATTATTTTTTTTACCAATCTTCACTACATTTTTATTAAAACATATATATAACATGCGTGCGTATATTTTCGGGTACGTTTCGTATCCCATTTTTAATCATTCTTATATTACATTTTCCAATAAAATATATTTATGTAGGATTTGTTTATTTCTTTTATCGTATTCCTATAAAATCATTAAATATTCTGTCCCTATCTCATGTTACCTAATAAACATCCAAACACAATTTTTTAACTCATTACCTTACTTTACCTACCTTCAATTACCTACCATTACCTACCTAATAAAACTTTTACCTACCTCCAAACAAACATAGCGTAAAACATTGAAATGTTTCAAGAGCTGGACATTTGTTTTTCACTATTGCATACTTCATTTATAACAGCTTTATTATAGGGTCATACTTTTACCTTCCATCAATTGCAGCAAAGAAAGTGATTGTGAAACACATTTGTTCCTACAGAAGCCATCCAAAACATGCCACCATCTTAGAAATAATCACATATCTCTGCTCTCCTTCAAGTAAAACCTACAGCAGTGCATTGTAGGTGATAATTGTTGCTTCTCTGAGACAAATCAGATTTCTGTAGATCTTCTTGCTAGAACATTGGTATCAGAGCGCGATTTCGGGCCAATCGAATCTGATCATCAGATATGAAGTACTATCAATCATATGCAAGCTAGCAATGTGTACCCTAAGCTGGATTGAATACAATACTCATTTCCCAAATCTCTATTTCTCTTCTTCTTCTTCTTCCCCAAATAAATCTCTCTGAGTTCGTCTCTTCTCTGAGACAATTCTGTGGATTCTTAATAGCAAGATCTTCTTGCTTTAACATCGGATATCAAAGGAAGTGTGGAGAATTTGATCTCAATCTATACACTGAGTTGGGTCATTGGGTGTGGTTGTTAGAGCTGGAGTGAACAATTCCAATTAGGGGTACACTAACAATTCCGTACCCCATTTCTCTCCTATCCCTTTCTTTACCACTCATTTTTATCTTATTTTTATTTATTTAATTTTTTTTTAGTTTTTTGCCCATTTTGTGATAATGGAGGGGGTGGGAGACAAATGGGGTTTCTTGCCCACCACTCGTACAACATTTTTTATTACAAAATTGAATTTTACTGACTAAATTTCCAAAAGGGTTCTTTTTAATAAAATATTTTCTTAAATTAGTTTTTAATAAATAATACAGTACGAGTAATTACCAATATCGTCCTTTATAATTGAAATGTATTGCCTAAATTGTCAGGCGTCAAAAATTCTTATTAAATGACAGTTAAATGAAGAATATTGTTGTATTTTTCATCATTTAAACTATGTTAAAATCCACCATTGGTCTTTTAATTTTATGAATTGTACACGATTGGTCATTCGAGTTTTAAAAGTTCATAAATAGTTCTTCAACTTTATGAGTTGTGCACGATTGATACTTCAAGTTTCAAAAATCTATAAGTAGTCTTTCAAGTCCACATCGATCCTCTACATGATGAGATCACATGCACTAAGTGTCTATGTTGGGGATACCTAATTTATGTGATCACAAACACTGTGTACAAATGGAATACTCCATTTTGATGTACCACTAGGTTTACTCTTCACATATCGGTATGTCATGGATTAATCGTCTCACTTATTATGTTTACAATCATTGGTCTTTTAATTTTATGAATTGTACACGATTGGTCATTCGAGTTTTAAAAGTTCATAAATAGTTCTTCAACTTTATGAGTTGTGCATGATTGATACTTCAAGTTTCAAAAATCCATAAGTAGTCTTTCAAGTACACATCGATCCTGTACATGATGAGATCACATGCACTAAGTGTCTATGTTTGGGATACCTAATTTATGTGATCACAAACACTGTGTACAAATGGAATACTCCATTTTGATGTACCACTAGGTTTACTCTTCATATATCGGTATGTCATGGATTAATCGTCTCACTTATTATGTTTACAATCATTCTCTTTTCTCTAATCAAATTTTTACTAATTTTTTGTTTTTCAATACTTTTCTTAAATTTCATGAAATCGAACTAGAAAATTTAATTCGAAAGGCACATTTGATTCTTGATTCTTGGATAATATACTAAAATGGTCTATGAAGGGATACATAGACAATTTTATTGCATCCAAACACCATTCCATAAGGGGTGTTTAAAAAAACTTGGACTCTACATATAATTAAGGATTAAGCTGTGTACCTCAACATTTATATCCCAATTTGTACCCCGCAGGTTTGCACCAACATTTTGTGTTGGCGTAAAACTAATTTTTGTTAACGCACCAACATTTGTGTCCGTGTAAATTTTTGTTAACGCACTAACACTTGTGCGGGTGTAAACCATCAAAATGTTTGTGTATAGTTGTGGTGTACAAATGGGGTGGGTACATTTTTGTGTGTAAGTGTAGCATGTTCTTATAATGGCCAAATAGCATCAGTACCCCCCGTGGTTTGCAAAATAGGCAACAATACCCCCCCTGTTTTCAAAACTTATTTCTAAAGTCCTTGTGGTTTCAAAACGCTACACCCGTGCCCCCTCTCATCATTTTCCGGGGCGAAAAAGGGGGCATTTGTGCATATTTTCTAAACCATGGGGGGTACCAGTGCTGATTTTTTATTTCTCTCTTTTTTTCCCATTTTTTTCCTTTACTTGTTTCATTTATTAATAAAGGTTATTTTACAATTACTTTTATAATTTTCTTAAAATTTAAAGTTATTTTTGTTTGAAAAAATTAACATGTAATGCATCGGCACGTCTCAAATTAACAATTTTTGTTTTTCCAGAAAAAAGGTAATTTTTTTAAAACTTCTAAAAATGATGAATAAAAATGATTATCCTTTTTGGACATCTCAATTTTAAGGATATTTTTAGGCGTGTTCCAAAATTGTTTTTTGTAGAAGACTCTTTTTTTTCGTATTTTGATTTTTTTCATTTTGTTTTTCCATATTTTTATTTTGGGTTTTCTTTTTGAACTTTCCAAAAAATTATTCTATGTAAGAAAAAGTGAAAATGTTTAATTTGAGATAGATGTAATGTATGTTAATTTTTTTTATTAGTTCAAACACAAAGAATTTTAAAAAATTTTAAAACATTATAAAAAATTGAAAAGAAATTAAAAAAAAATTCTAGGAAAAGGAAAAAGAAGGAAAAACACAAATAATAAATGAAAAATAACAAATGAGCACGAGTGTCCCCTATGGTTTAGAAATTATGCGGCAATGCCCTATCTTCGCCGGAAAATGGCCTGAAAATGATCAGAGGGGGTGTGGGTGCAACGTTTTGAAACCACATAGACTTTAGAAATAAGTTTTAAAAACAGAAGGGGTATTGGTGCCAATTTTTCAAACCACAGGGGCACCGAAGCTATTTGGCCTTCTATTAATTAAATTAAGTGAAATTTGCACTAAATAGTACTAAAACATAATGACTTTCCTAATCTAGGACTTAAACTTTTTTATTCCCTAAATAGGACTTAATAATGACCTAGTGGGAGGAATAATGTCCAGTAATGCTAGACATTTACTTGAATAATGACTAGTTGATAATGACCAAAAGTCCTACATTGGAAAATAAAAACATATGGTCCTATATTAAGAAAGTCATTATGTTTTAGTCCTATTTAGGTAAATTTCTCTTAAATTAATGAAGCATTCGTCATTGCTCCGATCTCTACTATCCTAGCATATAGATATGATAGATACATATTCTCCACCCCTCCATTAAAAGTTAAGTTCAGAATCTCCATAAGAAAAAACCCACACGCCTCAAACCATTCAAATTCTTCCCATATGTTTCTCTCTTATGTCATCCCTATATACTACCAAACCCCAACCTCTCCCTTTCGAATATTATTCTTGCCTCCCCTTATGTATATACTTCCTCCGTCCACAAATAAAGTTCTCATTACGCGTTACGATGTTTGACTAAAATTATTTTCAAATCATTTTATATGAAAAATGGTATGGAATTAAAAAATAAAAATTACATATTTAAAAACTACATGAAAAGATCTACAAAACTAGAGGTGATATGACTATATTATTTTATCAAATAAGACACAAAAATAGGCCAACAAAGTGAATAAAGTTTAACTCTGTGAATAATGAACGAAAACTTTATTGTTGGACGGAGGGAGTATATAAACTTTATAAATAAAAGCAACTAATTGCCCACATTCTTTAATCTATACATTATATATATACTGACAAATTAGTTTGTGACGTCACGTAATAAATTAAACCCTTTGATGATCGAGCAGTAGTCACAATCCTCCCGAAAGTTGGGAATTCGATCATAATAAAACTAACCCATTGTTAATTATTGTCATTAAATCAAACTAACCAACAAAATGTTTCGGTTATTCCTCGCCCTCTTCCTCTTTCTCGTCTTGCAAAGGTTTCCATGCCTTCCCGCCACAAAAATAACCGAATTAACTGCCGAAGACAGCCCGTGGCGGGGATTCCTCGGCTTCGTCGACCTCGGGAAAGGCAGCCGAGCCGCCGGCGTGTCTGAGCTCAAGAAGTACTTCCACCGTTTCGGGTACCTCCTGCCGCCGCCGCCGCCGGTGGTGGGTAAGTATTACCGCCGTCATAATCGTCACCAAAATTTCACCGACTTGTTCGACGACCAACTCGAGTCCGCGGTTCTTCTGTATCAGAAGAAACTCGGCCTCGCCGTCACCGGAAAACTAGACTACGACACCCTGCACGAGATCGTGCAGCCGCGGTGCGGCGACGGCGACGCCGGGATGCGGCGGCGGCCGCGGCCGGCGGGGGAGAAGTACGCCTACTTCAACGGAAGGCCGCGGTGGAGGGGGGCGCCGCCGGGGGAGTTGACATACGCGTTCTCGCCGGAGAACATGGTGGAGTACATACCCATGGCGGAGGTACGGGCGGTGTTCCGGAACGCCTTCTCGCGGTGGTCGGCGGTGATTCCGGTGAACTTTACAGAGGTGGAGGACTACCCGTTTGCGGACGTCAGGATCGGGTTTTACCACGGGGACCACGGGGACGGGGAGCCGTTTGACGGGCAGCTGGGGATACTGGCCCACGCGTTCTCGCCGGAGAACGGGAGGCTCCACCTCGACGCGGCGGAGACGTGGGCGGTTGACCTTGGTCAAGAAAAGTCAAAGGCGGCCGTTGACTTGGAATCTGTGGCCACGCACGAGATTGGGCACATTCTTGGGCTGGCCCACACGTCGGTCAAAGAAGCAATTATGTACCCGAGTTTGAGCCCAAGAACGAAGAAAGTGGATCTTCGGATCGATGACGTGGAAGGGATCCAGGAACTTTACGGGTCGAACCCGAATTTCAAGTATAGCTCTTTGTTGTGGTCGGATATTTCTTCAGGTCGGAAAAGATCATTAAAGTCGGACTCTTTGTTCCTTGTGATGCTATTTGTTGTTTGTTCGTTTCTTATCTCTTTGTGAATGCTTAGGATTTGTTCTTTTTAAACACTTCGGTAATTTGATAATAGTGTTGTACTGTTGTTAATGATGGTGTAAATCAATTAAAACTAGATTAGTTACTTAATGATGGTGTAAATCAATTAAAACTAGATTGATATATTAAACTGTGTTTTTTAAACCAAGCCAATTATGTGTGAAATACAAGTAGGTGGATCGGAAGGCCAAACGTTGCCTCCATCCTCAAAGTTCTTAGCCAAAATATGCATAATAGAATTAAAACGCCTTGAAAAAGAACAGAAATTAACTTGTGAAAAAGAAGCCAAGAGCCTACACTCACTCTCAATAATTTGCAAATAAGAACGATGTTCAGCGGGCCTCTTATTTAAGGACTGAATGAGCAACGAACAATCGAAGAACAAAGCAACCTTCGTGACTCCCCTCTCCTTGAGCCAAGACAACGCTTCCTTGATTGCGAAGGCCTCTCCAACTCGAGCCTCAAAAGGACATCGAAAGATTCTACTAAAGGCACCCCCATAGGATCCATCCTCCCTCAACAAGACTGCTGCCACCCCAACTGGATGTGAGTGTACGTGAAGAGTGACATCCACCATGCATTTGAAGCCATCCTGTACGTACGGTTTGACTTGGGTTGATTGGGTTTGTTTAGGCTGTTACTCTTTCATCACGTTGTCGGAGGGGCTGCCGACCGTGTGGGCAATAGGCCCGAGGTCTACGAGACGGGTTCGTGGATGCTTGTGGCTGCTATGGACCGATCGGTAGGGTTGTCTAGACCGATTGGAGGGGCTGCACGGGCCGGCTAATTAGGCTGTTGGTCCAACTGTGTTGAGCCGACAGTAAGGGGTTGCCCGGACGGGCAGTGTATCGGGTTGCTGGGTCGGTCCGGCGGGTTGTCAGGCTGATCCGGTGATAATTGATACAATTCTGGATGCCATGACATACCGATATATGAAGAGTAAACCTAGTGGTACATCAAAATGGAGTATTCCATTTGTACACAGTGTTTGTGATCACATAAATTAGGTATCCCAAACATAGACACTTAGTGCATGTGATCTCATCATGTACAGGATCGATGTGTACTTGAAAGACTACTTATGGATTTTTGAAACTTGAAGTATCAATCATGCACAACTCATAAAGTTGAAGAACTATTTATGAACTTTTAAAACTCGAATGACCAATCGTGTACAATTCATAAAATTAAAAGACCAATGATTGTAAACATAATAAGTGAGACGATTAATCCATGACATACCGATATGTGAAGAGTAAACCTAGTGGTACATCAAAATGGAGTATTCCATTTGTACACAGTGTTTGTGATCACATAAATTAGGTATCCCCAACATAGACACTTAGTGCATGTGATCTCATCATGTAGAGGATCGATGTGGACTTGAAAGACTACTTATAGATTTTTGAAACTTGAAGTATCAATCGTGCACAACTCATAAAGTTGAAGAACTATTTATGAACTTTTAAAACTCGAATGACCAATCGTGTACAATTCATAAAATTAAAAGACCAATGGTGGATTTTAACATAGTTTAAATGATGAAAAATACAACAATATTCTTCATTTAACTGTCATTTAATAAGAATTTTTGACGCCTGACAATTTAGGCAATACATTTCAATTATAAAGGACGATATTGGTAATTACTCGTACTGTATTATTTATTAAAAACTAATTTAAGAAAATATTTTATTAAAAAGAACCCTTTTGGAAATTTAGTCAGTAAAATTCAATTTTGTAATAAAAAATGTTGTACGAGTGGTGGGCAAGAAACCCCATTTGTCTCCCACCCCCTCCATTATCACAAAATGGGCAAAAAACTAAAAAAAAATTAAATAAATAAAAATAAGATAAAAATGAGTGGTAAAGAAAGGGATAGGAGAGAAATGGGGTACGGAATTGTTAGTGTACCCCTAATTGGAATTGTTCACTCCAGCTCTAACAACCACACCCAATGACCCAACTCAGTGTATAGATTGAGATCAAATTCTCCACACTTCCTTTGATATCCGATGTTAAAGCAAGAAGATCTTGCTATTAAGAATCCACAGAATTGTCTCAGAGAAGAGACGAACTCAGAGAGATTTATTTGGGGAAGAAGAAGAAGAAGAGAAATAGAGATTTGGGAAATGAGTATTGTATTCAATCCAGCTTAGGGTACACATTGCTAGCTTGCATATGATTGATAGTACTTCATATCTGATGATCAGATTCGATTGGCCCGAAATCGCGCTCTGATACCAATGTTCTAGCAAGAAGATCTACAGAAATCTGATTTGTCTCAGAGAAGCAACAATTATCACCTACAATGCACTGCTGTAGGTTTTACTTGAAGGAGAGCAGAGATATGTGATTATTTCTAAGATGGTGGCATGTTTTGGATGGCTTCTGTAGGAACAAATGTGTTTCACAATCACTTTCTTTGCTGCAATTGATGGAAGGTAAAAGTATGACCCTATAATAAAGCTGTTATAAATGAAGTATGCAATAGTGAAAAACAAATGTCCAGCTCTTGAAACATTTCAATGTTTTACGCTATGTTTGTTTGGAGGTAGGTAAAAGTTTTATTAGGTAGGTAATGGTAGGTAATTGAAGGTAGGTAAAGTAAGGTAATGAGTTAAAAAATTGTGTTTGGATGTTTATTAGGTAACATGAGATAGGGACAGAATAAAATTACTAAAATATCCTTATGCTATTTTCTTTATTTGTTTAGGATGTATTTATATAAAATAACCTTTTACATTATATTCTTACTAATTTTTACCCTATGCTTTGCATGGGCTTTTATATGCGTGCGTACAATATATATACAAAATTATTTTTACATCACTTCTAACCATTTTTTTTATTAGAATTTATTTAAATTTTANAGGTAGGTAATGGTAGGTAATTGAAGGTAGGTAAAGTAAGGTAATGAGTTAAAAAATTGTGTTTGGATGTTTATTAGGTAACATGAGATAGGGACAGAATAAAATTACTAAAATATCCTTATGCTATTTTCTTTATTTGTTTAGGATGTATTTATATAAAATAACCTTTTACATTATATTCTTACTAATTTTTACCCTATGCTTTGCATGGGCTTTTATATGCGTGCGTACAATATATATACAAAATTATTTTTACATCACTTCTAACCATTTTTTTTATTAGAATTTATTTAAATTTTAGTCCCGAGTTTGCGACACAAGTATGTTATTTAAATATTGTTGAGTTTAATCTTGTTGTTTGAGCATGACAGCTAAGCGTGTAGTCTTGTACATTGTCTTTGATTGCACGTAGGTGGGGATTTGGATCAAGAGGGCCAGCCTAGAGGACGTTGATATGTGACGCCGTGGATGATGTCATTATTTCTGTTTTGAATATTTAATTAATGCGTTGATTAATTGTTTGGTTTACACATTTATTGTAGAACGTTATTTTGAGACTTCTGCACTTAGACTTTACTCTGAACTTTCGTAAATAACTAGGTGTCTGGACGTTTTTGAATAATCTGTCTAAATTGTTGTGTTCTGAATATCAATTTAGAAGCAAACCGACTCGTTAATTCCTTGGTTCGGGTTTTCGCGAATTGGGGTGTTACAACTAAAATCATACAAAGTTAATGAAAAATACTCCCTCCGTCCCTCATAGATCTTCTCAATAACCCTTTTTCTATGTCCACAATAAATCTTCTCATTTCATTTTTTAATAATTAAAATACCACAACTACCCCCACTTACTTTATTTATTACACCTCACTCACCTTATTTAATACACTCCACCCATTTTTCATTAAGGGTATTATGGTAAACTTTCACCTTTTTTCAACTCTCTTTAAAAATCACCAAAAGTTAAAATGAGAACATCTTAGGGGGACGGAGGGAGTAGTAATCAATAGAAATTAATGTGAATTGGTAAGAAATAAAATAAAAATATATGGAGTGTTGGGTCTTAACTTTTAACATTTTACACACTATACATAGTATTAATGTACTATATAGGGTGTAAATGTTAGAGCCGTTAACATTTAATCTCCCCGCCGTTAACAACTTAACGATTACCCAAAACTCGCAATTTTCAGTGTATTTGAAATTATTATACATTACATTAAAAGATAAATTTATAAAATTATTTTTGAAAGATCGAGAAAAATTGATTTATTTTGGATAATTTTTTTTTTTTTTTTTTAGATTGAGAGGCAAACACACATACCTAATACTACTCAGTATTTTAATGGGAGCTACTCGCAACGGATTGTGCTCTGCAGGTCGAATGGATGAAGAAGAGGTGGGCCAAAAAACTCCCGTCTCTCTTTCTCTATCAAAAACAAAAGAAATGGAGGAAATGGGAGCAAGAAATCCTTACAGATGACAATTAATGGTGATTTCCAGAGCTTTTTCAACTGTCTATCAAATTTTACCTCTGCAAAAGGGATGGCGAGGAAAGAAGGGGAGATTAATAGTGTGTGGGAGCATTTTGAATTGGGCTAACAGAGCATTATCGCCTGGTAACATCCTTTCACTTCACCTTCCCTTCCATTTCTCTGCTTTTCATAATGGTGTTGCTGTTATGCCAAATATTCATGAATCATACTTGCATCATAGTAAATCAAGGTTTAAAAACATCAAGAAGCTTGATGATGCAATTTTATTGTACCGTCACATGGTCCGGATTCATCCCCGTCCTCCAATCATCCAATTCAACCATCTCTTGAATGCCGTTGTGAAGATGGGCAGCTATACTGATGCTGTATCTCTATTCAAAGATATTTGTGCTTCTGGCATTGGGGTAAATCAGTACACTCTGAGCATTGCTGCCAACTCTGTCATCCATTTGCACCAAGTGGATTTGGGTTTTGCTATCTTAGGCAGTCACTTGAAGCTCGGCCTAGTTCCCAATGTCTTTTTGTTCACCACCTTACTCAAAGGGTTGTTCCTTCAAGATAGGGTTCAAGATGCAATTTGGTTGTTTCACAAGTTATTGAATGAGGAACTATGTGAGCTAAGTGAAGTCACATTGCTTGTACTAATTGATGGCCTCTGCAAGGTAGGACACATCGGCGAGGCTATGAATTTGCTTCATTTGTTTGAAGAGAAAGGAAATTGCAAGCCAAATGTATATGCATATAGCACCATCATTGATTCTTTGTGCAAGGATAAAATGGTGGACAATGCCCTTGTCTTGTTAGCCAAGATGATGAAAAAGGGCATTCATCCCAATGTTGTGACCTATAGTTCCCTAATTCACGGACTTTGTGCATTTGGTCGATGGGGAGAGGTGAAGGAGTTGGTGAAAAGAATGACGGACTATAGAATTCCTCTCAATGTCCATTCATACAGCATATTAGTGGATGGGTTTTGTAAGGAAGGCTGGATCAGTTCTGCTGAAAAAGTCATAGATACAATGATTCAAGAAGGTGTATATCCCAACATAATCACGTACAATGCTTTGATGGATGGATACTGCATACAAGGCAAAATGAAAAGTGCATCGGAACTCTTAAAGAACATGATACACAGGGGATGCAACCCTGATATTTGGACTTACACTATATTGATAAATGGGTATTGCAAGAGTGGGTGTTTTGACAAGTCCATGCAATTACTTGAAACAATTCCTGGCGTTGGCATAAAGCCAAGTGTTGTTACCTACAACAGTATGTTAGAGGGTTTATTTCAAGCAGGGAAATTTGCTGATGCTGAGAAGCTTTTTAACATCATGGTAAAAAATAGAGAATATCCAAATCTTGTCACCTACAATATTATTTTGGATGGCTTCTGCAAGAACCATCATGTTCCTCAAGCGCTTTCTTTACTGAGGATGATGGAATCTAAAGGTCCTATCCCCGATATCATTACCTATAATACTGTCATAAATGGACTATTCAGTGACAGAAAATCATGCAGTGCATTAGAACTATTCAATACCCTTCCCTCTAAAGGTCTACGCCCAGATCTGAGAACTTATACAGCTATGATAAGTGGACTATGCCAAGAAGGCTTTTTAGAAGATGCAAAATATATGCTCAAGGAAATGGAGAAAAATGGTGTTGTTCCAGATAGTGTGTTTTACAATGAACTGATCTATGGGTTAATGAAAAAGAATGAGCATTGTGATGCTCTATTATTTTTGGAGGAGATGTCAAGAATTGGATTCTCGCCTGACAATAGAACTTGTAAAATTTTACTGAAGTCTATCATACAACAAGGACCAGATTCCACTCTGCTGCATATGCTTTTGAATATCAAAGAGAGATGAAAAATCCAGATCTTGAATCTTTTTCTAGATAAAATTCAACTCTGCTTCATCCTCTGTTTCAGATTGTAGATTCTAATTTACTAATTACTGAAAAAGAACTAAACCCCACTTACCCCACAAATGTTGGCCAATAGTATGAACATCCCTCTTTTTATGTCCTCTCTAGACATTCTTTTTAGTACTCAAGTTGTTGTGTCTGTGTGTATGCATATTTTACATTGGTGCAATATATGTTGGTGCAATGTTTTGATTAAAGACTTGAATGCATTGGCATTTCCTATAATTGTTCTTCATGAAGATCGGACTTCGATCACAGTTTTTTTCTACTAATCTGTGTTATGCTGAGAATAATATATCACATTTCAAGCGGGAGTTTATATACGGAGTATACTGTATTTATGTATATCGGTGCCGATTCATGAGAATAAGTTGAAATTCCAAAAGACTAGCATTTTGCAGACCATATATTATCATTTAGACAGTCATTTACATGTAATCTCTGAATTCTCGTGACTAGTGAACTACTATGGGCATATGTTTTGAATTCATTCTTATCCCCAACAAACACATCTACTTTTTATTTTATTTTTTAAAGTATCAATCTGGGGATGATGTTCAAATGGCTCAAAATTATCAACTTATGGATGACGTGCGGAAATTTGCTCTGCTTGAAATCTTTATTTCCATGAGTTAATGGTGATATTTTTTACTATATGTTAGACCACTTTATTGACAATCTAACTGGATGTTTCTATTTTAAATCATTTTTTGGCTTGTGCATGCAGGAGTGAGGGGAATATAAAAAAAATGTATATGAGTTATTTTTTTAGGATTACAATGGAAATGGACTGAAAGTAATACGCCTTCTGTCTTATAGGTAACAGTTGCTTTTAACATCTACCCTAATTCTTTATGGCCAAACTTTGTTAAGTCCCTAGACTTTTGGTCTTTATTCCGTAAAAGAGAATTGTACCTTGTGCTCGAATGGTTGTACTCCCGTTATCCTTAACAGATTGTTTATTGTCAAAACATATAGACCTCTGCTGCTTGGGCGCACTTCTTCAGTTCAGCGCCTCACTCAACAGACCTTCGTGCTCCAATTCATCTTCAATCAATAGGTATCATCCCTTTTCACTTTGTGTCTTTCACTCTTGTGAAGTGATTTGCTGTTGGAATTTCTACTATCTTTTAAAATTCATATTTGATTAGATTCAAACATGAATCCTTGTTTGCATGCAGATTTGAACATGCAAATAAGAAAAGATGTTTGAATCCAAATCAATTTGAATTTCCTAAGTTAAAAAAACAAAATGTGTACTTGATTGGTATGATTCAAACAGCAATAGTGTTGGTGAAAAGAAGTTCACTCAACATATATAATTTGAAAAGATGTTGAAGAAACTGTATCTGCACCAATTGATTTCAGTATGCTATTTATTCCCAAATGAGGATGGGGGTTTGCTCTGGCTTCCTCCTGCCTTCCTAAAGTTTTCTTCTTAATTTCGTTCCACCTTTATGGTTATTGAATAGCTAATTTCTACCGTTCGTCCTTCCTTCAACTTTTAAAATTCTATAAATAGTCCTTCAAATCATGTTAGCATTGTATGATTAGTCCTTCAACTTGAAAAATTTTACATATAGTCTTTCAAGTCACGTCCGTGTTGCGTAGTTGGTCCTTTTGTTGTTACTCCATGCATTTTTTCATTTTTTATTATAAATACACGTAAGGAACCTTTTCTTTTTCATAGATTTATTTTAATTGAAATATTGGTAAAAAAATTCAACCTTGTTGAATGTAAAAAGTTAAAATTTGACAAAAAATTTAAGACGGAGTGATATTTTTTAAATAAAATTAAACTAAAAAAAGAAAAAGTAACTTATATTATTTAAAAGTTTGAGTAATTAAAGTAAGAGTAACTATTAATGTTAAAAATGGACCTATATTAAATATGGTTCAATTATATGAAGAAGAAAAGGTTCCTCACATGTATTTAAAATGGAAAATATATAAAAAAATGCATGGACTAACGGAAAAATTAACGGAAGGACCAACCATACAAGGCTAACGTGACTTGAAAGACTATTCCATAAAATTTTCAAAGTTGAAGGATGCCACTGCCCCCCGGTTCCATGGCCACTGCATTCCGGTGGCCACGGAAGCCACTGCCCCCTTACGGAGCTCCGTTCATAAAATTGATGATTCCTACCCCTCCTAACCCCCCGGTAAACCCCCCCGCCAAGTCCCGACCCAAACTCACCACCCCACCTACGTCAATTGCACCTCGTAAGCATAATTGACTTTAAAGTCAAAAGTTTGACTTTATGCTTACGAGGTGCAATTGACGAAGGTGGGGGGTGAGTTTGGGTCGGGACTTGACGGAGGGTTTACCGGGGGGGTTAGGAGGGGTAGGAATTATCAATTTTATGAACGGAGCTCCGTAAGGGGGCAGTGGCTTCCGTGGCCCCTGGAATGTGGCCATGGAACCGGGCCGAAATAAAAAATGCAGTACCGAGTCCAAATGATGCTAGTTTAATGATCATTTCTCAAAGACACCTTGAATGAATGTACAAACGATCTGAATATAATCGTGTTGGCATATATCACACTCCACGATTTGAACCCTAAGCATAAATTTAATGTGTTGAAAAATGGCCGCAGCATGCCAGGGAAACCCCTCATCGTCAAGTGACGCTGTGGTGAAAAGAAAGGAGAAATTGATGAAGGAGAAAGATTGGAATAGAAAAAAAGATAGAGAAACGAGATGGGAAGAGAAGATAATGGATGGAGGAGGGAGAGTGTGTTGAACAACTTATGCACCTCTAGAGGGGGTGAATAGAGGTGTTCTTCAAAAATCAAAACTTTTGGAAGAAAAGTAAATCAACCACAAGACTGAGATGAAGAGAAGGAGCAACACACGATGTATCCTGGTTCGGCCTAATGCCTACATCCAGTCCCCGAAGCAAACGTGCCCGAGATTCCACTAACTTCGTCAAACTTAACGGAGTTTGACAATCCGATTACAACTCGAGAACTTGAATTCGCAAGCCTCTAACCTTTCCACTGAAGTCTTGATTTCACAAGACTCAGGATTTCTCTCCAAAACTTGAATTATATCAACTTCAAGTTTTTACAATTCACACACCGTTTCAAAACAAAGTGCACAGCGGAATACTCTTCAAATTAAGAGTGGATTGCTGTAGAATACAAAAACTTATAGAGTATGACACACTAGTACTCTCCAAAACTCAAGCAAATATTGATTTCTTGAAGAATTGCTTGGAAGTAATGTTGAAGGATCAAAAGTATGAATTGAATTGCTTGGGTTTGATAAAAGAATATGTTTGAATGGATATATATAATGTTCTTCAAGAAAAGAGCCGTTGTAAGTTATTGAAGATAGGGATGGATAACTTCCTTTAAAACTGACAAAACTGCAGTTCAAACTGACGACTTATTCGAATAAAATCATATTTATTCGAATAGGACAGAGCGAAAAACACAGAATTATTCGAATAAATTAGGGTTTATTCGACTAAATCACTGTAAGATTGAAGAAATGAAATTCAGGACTTATTCGAATAATATGCTATTTATCCGAATAAGACAGCACTAAGAACTCTGACTTTTTCGAGTAAAACAAGAATTATCCGAATAGTTCTCACAGTTTTGAAAATATTATTTTGCAATTGACTCAAAAAAACAAATTGAAGGGTTTTTGAAAAACATTTTTAAGGAGGGAAGAACAATTAACATGCCATACACTTTAACAAAAATGCTAAGACCAAAACGAAAACCAAAAACACTATATCTTCACACTTGTCTTGAGATCCAACGCATGATAGTGAAAATCAACATCCAAAGTGCCAAGCCCATGAGATAGTTGTCATTATCAAAACACAAGGGTCAACAGAGTGGGGGTATACGGTCCTGCTAGGGGTACACCGCCGATCGATGATCGACGTAGCACCATGCCTTCATCAACACCGCCACAGGGCATGTATCGTGGGATTGATCCTCTTCGCTGCACCGCCAATCCTATTCGTGGTGCAGAAGATGCACGGTTTGGGCTCCCCGTCACCGCCCTAGAGGCGTCACAACAGCGGCATCATCTTCTTCGTCATGGAGATCTAGATTGGTGTATGGGGGATGAACCACTCTTTTGACTCCTACGCATCTATATCAATTCTTCCTCTGCCGCCTGCTTTTCGTCGACGCCAGCTCCTCCCGATTGCCACAACATCTTTCTTTTCTTCCAACAGCGTCGCTAGAGTGGTGGAACTTGGTTGAGATGGCGATGGACTCTGGTACATAGACAGTAAGTGTGTGTTTTCAAAAAATTACCGACCAGCTGGTGCAATTTTCCAAGTACATAGATAGTAAATTTCTGTTTTATAACACTTACATAACTTTAGTGTTTCTGTAACTAAATAGTGCTGATTGGAGTTTTTTCCTCATTTCTTAAATAAAAGAAAATTTTTGAAATGTTATTGATACTGTACTATTTCACATATTTAATGTGTAAAATTTTCATCCAGGTCACATAGATAATGAATGTCTATGATCAAGAATTATATATATGTATGTATGTATGTATGTATGTTGTCTATGTTGATGTAACTAAGCAGTGTGAATTATAACTTTTTTAGTTAAGTTACACAAATAATAAATGTTTGTGTTTAATGAATTATAGGCATTTAGAGTGTATGTTTAAAAGTACAGATATTTGCTCTTTATTAATCAAAACAAGTTATTTTTTTGGAATACAAACATTTTACACACACAACAAGCACATCATAGACCTTTTAAAACAAGTTATGAAATTGAATCTCTTAATTAAGAAGCACTTTAGAGACATTTCACAGCACCTCCAGCGAGATCTGGAGCATGGCGGCAAACATCTAGTCTTTGTGCTCTAAAAGATACGAACATTTTAATATTTTTTTCGTATTTCTTTGTATACAATTACAGACATATATGTAGTGTATGTGAATAAATATTCATGAAAAGCAAGTGCCTATCAACATCATGAAATAATAGATTATTGTACCCATTCAAGATGTTAAAAATTCTTTTGTAAGATTTTACAAATTACACTATGATGACAAAATCTCCATACATACATTAAACAAAAAATAAATTATTTTCACTTGTAGAAGTGTGGATGCAGCATCACCTTACTGCCATATTTTTTTCTCAGAGATGTTTCACAGATATTGCGTATTTGTAATTTTGTTTTCACAGATGCACCATGAATGTGAAAGAATTCTTGAAGTGAGAATTTATCCAACATTTTGTCCCTAATGTGTTACCAACATTCCGTGTCGGTGAGACTTCTTCTACAGACATTAATTGTCCTGCAACAAAGACATTTTTATCAAAAGATACCTGAGGAGATGAGTGAACTAAACCGAAGCCTCTCAAAAAATACAAACACCCAATCCTCTACAAGCTACCACTGAGAACAAATTCCAACAAAAGGAAAACAATTATACAATTGGCATTGCAAATATAGCATACAAAATCTTCCACCATTACAGTAATAAACAAAAACTAGAAGAGTTGGGTAGAGTTCTATATTAGTTTGCAAGATATCATTAAAAAAGATTAGTAAAGCTCAAAATTATTAAAAGAAATCTAAAGCTTAGCTTTAGAAGGCCATAATAGAACCCATGCCATATCATATCAAGATAAATCAAAATAGTTCGATTAACCGACCCAAAACACTTCGATTAAAGGGCCATACCAAAACCCATACCATCTCAAATATGTATAAAAGTTTAATAACCAACCCCAAAATGACTAAACACTCCATCACATGATTCTAGATAGTAGAATTCATATCCTATATTAAATAGGATACATGCATTTCACACTAATAAAAAGAACCGAAGCATATCAAGTTTTGAAATTGAACACCCTTATTTGGAAAACAGACATTTTATTCCAGTAACAAACACTTCACAAACACTTTCGAGTAATTTATGAATTAGAACAAGTTTTTTTTTAAATACAGACATTTTATGCATGCAACAAACACATCATAGGCATTTCAAAATAACTCTTGATATCGAATGCTCTTAATTAGAATACAAACTTTTTACACCAGTAACAAGTACTACACAGACATTTCGTAATAAACATGAAAAATGACCAATTACAACAAGTTATTAATGAAAAATTAGGAACTGAAAAAATTGAAAAAGGAAATAAACAATTGAACAAGCTCAAAAAACAATGATTCACAAAAACATAAACAAAGGGCAATTTCACAAAAGGGAAAGATTGAGCGATTGAATCTAGATTTACAAAATAAAAACCCTAAAATTGAAATATAAGTATTTGTTATTACCTTTAATTTTTTGTTTTACGGTGGCTGGATTGGTGCAAAAGATCGAAGAAAACGAAGGAGGCGCTCTTCGCCAAGTTGGATCTTCCACCGATGCACCTATTGGAGGATGGCGAAGTAGGGGATGCTACAAAGGAAGAACGAGGAAGACGAAGGAGGAGTTCTGGGAGAAGGACTGGTCTTTGGGTAGTTGCTCGCTCCCTCCTTCGTCAGAGAAATCTGAGAGAGAGAGAGAGAGAGAGCGAGCGAGCAGGGGAGGGGGTTATGGAAAGTTGGGGGTACGTATGGTTAGTGATGTAAACAAATCAAATATTTAAATTCGATTCGTGATTCGTATTCGAATATGATGATTCAAATTCACGTTATTCAAATACAAATATTAGTTTTGATTCGAATATTAAACAAATACAAATTTAAATAGAGTTGTATTCGATTCGAATGATATTCAAACATTCGAACATATTTATATACACAGACCATGTTTTCAACATTAGCAATCAAGCAAACTAGTATAATATAAATTGTATTTAAATTACTAGGATTTCATGATATGAACGTAATACAAAAATTTAAAACATGCAATTTTAATAGTTATATTTTATAAAATATAAATTGTGTAAGACACAAATGTATTAATATTTTTAGATATGATATAAGAAATATTGTAAGTTAAATTATTCAAAATCGACATATAAATTACGGAATATGATTATTCAAATATTCATTAAAGATTCGGTAACTATTTGAATATTAATCAAATACAAATCTTATTTTTAATTCGTTTTATATTCATATTCGGATTCAAATTCGATAAAATTAATCAAATACAAATTCAAATATTATGATATTCGCTTCGATTTAGTTTTTTACAACTATGTATGGTGTAGAAGTGGTATACCCATATTAATACACATAGCATTTTGTTAGAGAAACGCAGCCTAAACACGGAAGAAAAGGGGAATGGATAGGATGAAAAGGTGGGGTCAAGAAAAACACTCCACACTATCTACGATTGTACCAAGTTAGTCTCTCTCTCCCTCTCTCAATCTTTCTCTATGCGATTGGGGAGCATTTAGCATCAAATTATACCGCTGCAAAAGGATGCCATTAATGGCGTGTGGGAGCATTTTGAATTGGACTAACAGTGGATTATCCCCGGGTAACATACTTTCCTTCCTTCCCGACTTCTCCTTCCATTTGTATGCTCTTCGTAATGACTTTAGGCATAACATTCATGAATCATGCTTGCATCTTAATAAATCAAACTTTACAAGTATCAAGAAGCTTGATTGTGATGCATTTTTATCGTACATGGTCCAAATTCATCCCCGCCCTCCAACCGTCCAATTCAACCATCTCTTGAATGCCACTGTGAAGATGAGCTGCCACAGTGAAGCCCTCTCTCTATATAAGGATATTTGTGCCTCTGGAGTTGTGATAAATCAGTACACGCTGAACATTGTTGCGATCATTTGACTGTTTATGCAATCTTTCAATAAACAGCGAGCATTGTTTCATTTAGGTTCATATTGTTGATGATTTTAATGTCACTATTTAATGTAATTGAATTTACTTAAGATTGGAATACTTAAAATTATTTACAAAGCCTACTCAAACCTCCACACCTAATGTGCAAAAAAATTGCTATATGGCTATAATGTTTAAGGAATCGCCCCCAGATCCCCGCCTTGGGGGGGGGGGGGGGGGAAACGAAATACTTTTAGGAAGCCTAAAAGCATTTGCCTTCTTAGGTTATACTTTCTCGAGAAGAGTTAGTATTCCCTATCCAGATGCTTAGGGTGCTCATTTGACGACTCATCTGTTGTTTACATGGTTTAAGACCTATCCGCTTGTCGATTGCTTTGTTTTGGAATTGCACGTTACTTGCCTATTACTCATTGAACTAAGGGGCGTGTGTTAAGTATCCCACATTGATGCATTATGAGACCACAATCTAGTTTATAAACTTGGGCAAGGATTTGTGATGTTGACACACCTTTCCGTACCATCCCCGAGCAACAAACTTGGAAGGTTTCTCCATATAGACTTCTTTAGATTCTCATGCAAGGTTTCTCCATATAGACTTCTCCAAAACCTCAAAGGCATTCTTGATGTCAAACTGATGTAAGGGACAATCACGTCTAGCCACCAATGAGATAAATAATATGACAAAGAGTTATCAATACCGTGAGTCTCTGCATAGCCCTTTACCACCAATTGAGCCATCGAGCTAGCAACAACCTTGTGAAGATTTACCTTTAGTGCATACACCACTTGCAGCCAATAGACGTCTTTCTTGTAGATAAGCTCACCAAATCTCATGTACCATTATGCTCCAACGCATCCATTCCTTTATCATAACATTGCGCCACCCAGGTTGAGATGGTGCCTCATTCACCTCTTAGGGAGAGAAATGGCCTCAAGGGACCTGCCTGTTTGTCGTTTACACGGTGTGGGGTACAATCTCTGTATGTAACATATTTTCAAGCGAAAGAAATCATTTTTTGGTGGTGTGGAAGATGAAATGTGACACAAGTAATTTGAGACCCATGCTTAGTTTCATGTTAATGTCATAGATGATTTATGAAACTTCCTTTATCTAGTTTTATAAACACGCACCCACACATATTCCATGATTACTACTTCATGATTGAATATTTATTTCCCTGACCGTTTGTTTTGGAATTCGATTATGTGGGCTGATTGGAACCAGTTACTTCAAGAGTTGTACATATATATTACATATGATTGTGGCATGACAAAACTTTGGGCTTCTTATTTCCCCCTTAAGTTGTATCTAGCTACATCCTATAACTTATTTGGCAATTTATTTGTGTTTAGGTTGTGTATTTGGCAATATACAATCAGCCAATCCTAAAAGAGTGTTCAGAACGAGTGTTGGTGCTGGAGTGCAATCATCAAATGCTATTGAGCGTCAAGGCCAGTGTAGTGTAGTGAATCGCAGAAACTTAATTAACATAGGGGTTGGACTTTTATGGCTCCACAGTGGCTCTGCTTTGGTTGAAGCAGCTGGATTACCTCCAGAGGATAAACTAACACTATGTGATGAGTCATGTGAGAAAGAGCTTGAAAATGTATGGTGAGATTACAAAGCTGATAACTCCCCAAACTTGTTAACATTCTTTGCTTCATTAGTTTTGGTAGTTTGCATTCAGTTGCTGTCCTCTCAATTTTAAGCCGAGATCAAATCCTTCTTTTGTTCAATCTCCTTCTACGTTATTCTGCATTTTGAGAGACATGGTTTGCCATTCCAAAAAGAAAATAGTGCATGCCAAATGTCATAGCTACTTTGATGTAGAGTTGTATACTTTGATCTATGATTTAGACTTTAGGTATGCTCTTCAACATCAATGCCCTATGAAGAAATGCAATTATTAATTGTTTAATACCATTTTGAAAGGAACTTCATAATTATTTTAGTATGTCATAGGTGAGCTCATAGAACTCACATTATCTTGAGGATCTGCTTTGTTGTCTACATGTAAATGTTTATGATGCTTGAAGGTACCCATGGTAACTTCTCCATCTGGCTTGCAATACAAGGATATTAAAGTTGGCCGAGGACCTAGTCCTCCTGTTGGATTTCAGGTATGCACAGAGAAATTATATGGTCTCCTACATTAGAATGTCTGAAATTAAGAGCCTTGTTAAAAATGTTAATTAGATATCTGTTCAATAGATTCTATTCTTAGAGACACGTTTGAATCTTTAAACAAACTGGCAGACTGTCGCATCTTCTTGCCGGGTTTGTTTTTTCTTTTCAAGTTAAGTTTTCACATTTAAATTCTTTCATAGTTTTACCCAGTCTGCTTCTTAGAGGTTTTTTAAGTAAAATGTTTTCATGTGATTTTGCTTCATAGTTTTACCTCTCTATAATTTGTGTTGTGCTATCAGGTCTTGTTCTTCTTATTCCTTTTCTTTTGAGTTCTCCATTTTACTGCATCATATATAAAATTTGAAATTTTGTGTTTTCCTTTAATAGTGTTGGGATTGCCAACCATAGCTATCTATAACTTCCATGCTGAAAGAGCAAAAAGCTATGGCAAACAATGTTTCTCAATTATTATTTGTTTCTTGTTTATCTTTTGCTGATTAAATGCAGCATCGAAATCCAAAATCATTGAATTCTGGGTCTCTCCCTAAAAGCTTTACTGTATATGAGAGAGATTATTATGTCTATATCTTAACAGGTAGCTGCAAACTATGTTGCCATGGTTCCTTCTGGCCAAATATTTGACAGGCAAGTTTATGTGAGTATATGTCACTGAACACAGTCCGTTTTCCGCGTCAGCATTATTCATCATTCATGCTGAAGTTCAGCACCCTAACCTGAGGAATCGGTCTTCTTAGGCGCAATGGAGAAGCACGAAATGTGCAAAGTATTTATGTAAATTATCTTCCTAATACAATTTTCTTAAATTTGTTTAGTTCACTGGAGAAAGGGCAGCCTTACATTTTCCGGGTAGGCTCTGGTCAGGTGAGATCCTAAGTTTCTTTTGTCTACAATGAACAAATTACAAGGGCTATGGCATATTCGAATTCCGTGAATAGGTCCTAAAGGGGCTAGATGAAGGAGTCCTCACCATGAAAGTTGGGGGGAAACGTCGCCTCTACATCCCCGGACCAGTTAAGATTTTCCATTTCTTCTTTTCTTTTTTATAGGCCGTTTATGTGGAGACCTTATTTTCTGTTTATTTATTTATTTATTTATTTATTTAATTAGCTGGCATTTCCGAAAGGATTGACATCAGCACCGGGAAGGCCACGCATACCTCCTAGCAGCCCAGTGATCTTTGATGTTAGTCTTGAGTACATTCCAGGCATTGATGAGGATGAGGAGTAAGGTTCATCTTCTTCATCAAAACGTACCCTCTCAATCCCCTTTGGTTTATTTTTGTTTAAAATTCATTCATGTAAAATGGGGAACATTGTAATCCTGTAATGTTCCCTTGTGGAATGCGAAATTCGGGCAGTCGGGCTAACAAGTCCGTTATTACGTTATACGGAGTACTATATATCCAAATTTACAACATAACACCTCAAATGCAGACAAAAATGAATTTATTTATATCCAAAATTAGTTTTCTTACATATTATTTGGGTGATCATTTAATTGAGTGATTTTTGTAACACATTTCTTCTAACATTCTCCAATTTCTTTTAGGTTCTGTTTGGTATTCGGAATTAGTTGAATTGGAATTGAATTAGAATTGAAATTCCATAGGATTCAATTCCATTGAGTTGAATTATCCAGTTTCAATTTTTTTTTGCACTATCAATTCCAAATCTACACAATTTTTGTGCTACCAAATACCAAAATTAGAATTGAAGTCCTCAATTCCAATTTCATAGTTTAAATTTTGTGTACAAAACAAGGCCTGAGGTTCTGTTTGGTATCCAGAATTGGTGGAATTGGAATTGAATTAGAGGTTGAAATTCTATGAAATTGATTTGGATGGAATTGAATTATTCGATTCTAATTTATTTTTGGCATTACTAATTCTAAATCCGCACATTTTGTGCTATCAAACAACAGAATTGAAATTGTTGTTCTTAATATTAATTCTATATTTTGAATTTTATATACCAAACGGAGCCTTACTTCTTTCTAACTCTTTCCAGTATATTCTAAATTTTTCAAGTTTATTCCAACCTCCAATTTTAAATTCAACTTAAAAGAACGTAATGATGTTAGTACTTCATCCGTCTCGTTATAAATCTCCTGTTTTGACTTTTGAGCATATTTAAAGAAAAGGAAAAATAGAGTTGATTTTCCGAAATTATCATTACTTTTTAGGAGGGGGTGACAATGAATGAGAAGATAAGGTGGAGAAGAGTGACTTATTTTAGGGGTATTTTCAGTATTTTACTCTTAAAAGTTTACGATAACAAGTAACAGGCAACTTATTTTGAAATGGAGAAAAAAGCCAAACAAGCAATTTAAAATGAGACAGAGGGAGTACATGCTAGAAAAAATATAAAATACAATGTCTTTGAGTGAGAATTTTTTAAAGGCATTTAGGAAAACAAAATGGGTAATAAATTTTGGAAGTTGCTAAAAATACGAACATTATTTTGAAAGTTTCCAAAAAAAAAACTCAGTTTTCCAAAAAATAGAATACTAGTAAAAAACAAGAGGTAAAAATTCGTCCACCACTACTAAAGTATCGGTTTGAACTTCGTTTATACAGAAATACGGAGTATGCCTAAATTATGGAATCAAAGCCTAATTTATAAAGTTTGCCAAATCAAAGCCTAATTTAGGCCCAATTCACATGGTCTCCAAAGAATTTTAGAGTATGTTCTTTAAGACCGGAAAAAAAGAGTTTGATTTTGGGAGAAACTAGAAGAAATTGGAAGAACATGAAGGAACTAGAAAAAAATTAAATAAAATTGAAAAAACTAGAAAAAATTGGAAAATCTAAAAAAAAAATATTTTTTTGTGTATTTTTATATTATTCTCATTCTAATTCTTGTTGTTATTAATTATTAATATTAATATTAATATTATTGTTGTTGTTGTCGTAGTCATCACGTTATCTTAATTAATGCCTTTAAGATAAAAAAATTGTTATTTTTCATACACAAACAAAAGAACTACTCTTGTAAAAAAATTAATTAGAATGTAAAATTAATATAAACGGTGTTTCATTCGTAAACTTAACGGTTTGTATCCTTCATAATCTCTTCATACACCCCAACGCGACTCCCCCCTCCCCCGTAATCACACCCCATAAGTTTTCTTGATTTTTTTAGTTAAAATTTTGAATAAAATATCAACCAAACTTAAAAAGTGTAATCGTGGAAGGTAGGCCGGTAGGGATCTTGAGGAGGCGAGATCCGGGGAAATGTTTATGAGGGGGATATGAGAGGCAAAAGACATCAAATTAATTATATGAACGAAACACCGTAGATGCCAATGATATCGCAAAATTATACCCCCACCATTGAATTATCTTCCTTCTTCATTATTCCAAAATCACGATAACTTTTGTTTATTTGTTCATTTTCATTGATTATTTGATAGAATAAACTTTTTTTATCGGCACTTATGTATTATTTTTAATTTAGTTTTTAAATATGCAAGTTTTTTAAATTTATATACGAATCTTTTTTATAAAATGAATTAAAAAAATTTAAAATTTTACTTTTTTTTAGACATAACATAAAAATTTACCTGATTTTGCTTAATAATAATTATGGGACCAAGAGTATTTGGAATACTGTCTCTACACTGCATCACATTTTTAACACCAAGAGTGCATCCTTTGCGGGAAACTGAGCTTTTTGAAGTTTTTTTGGCTGGTTATCATGTTTTTCTCATGGGAATCGAATGGGTGTGAAGAGAGAAAGCCTTGCCCATGCTTTTCACTATACTTTTGATTTTGTTTTTGGGAGCTTCCGTTCATAAATTTTATGAAGGGATCGAAGAAATCTAATTCGGATGTTAGGGTTTTGGGAGATCTAAGCAAAACGATGAAGATTTGTCCTTGTGTTTCTGGGCACATCTTCAATCGGGCATTCGGAGGACTATCCCATGGTAAAACCCTTCTTTTCTTCCTGCCCAGATTCCCCTTCCATCTCTCTGCTTTTCATAATGGTGTTGCTGTTAGGCCCAATATTCATGAATCATACCTGCATCATAGTAAATCAAGGTTTAAGAGCATCAAGAAGCCTGATGATGCAATTTTATTGTACCGTCACATGGTCCGGATTCATCCCCTCCCTCCAACCGTCCAATTCAACCATCTCTTGAATGCCATTGTGAAGATGGGCCGCTACAGTGATGCCGTCTCTCTGTTTAGGGATATCTTTGCATCTGGAGTTGTTATAGATAATTACACCCTGAGCATTGCTGCCAATTCTCTGGCCCATCTGCATAGAGTGGACTTGGGTTTTGCTATCTTAGGGAGCTGCTTGAAGCTGGGTTTAGTAACTGATGTGGTTTTCTTCAACACCTTACTTAAAGGGTTGTTCCTTAAAGATCGGGTTCACGATGCTAGTTGGTTGTTTCAGAAGTTACTGAATGAGAAACTTTGCGAGCTAAGTGAAGTCACATTACTAATACTAATTGATGGCCTCTGCAAGGCAGGACACAGTGGTAAGGCTATTAAGTTGCTTCATTTGTTTGAAGAGAAAGGAAATTGCAAGCCAAATGTATATGCATATAACGCCATCATCAATTCTTTGTGCAAGGATAAAATGATGGACGATGCCCTTGCCCTGCTAACCAAAATGAGGGAAAAGGGCATTCCTCCTAATGTTGTGACCTACAATTCCCTAATTCATGGACTATGTACATTGAGTCGTTGGGAAGAGGTCAAGGAGATATTGAAAAGAATGGTGGACTCTAGAATTCCTTTCAATGTCCTTACATACAGCATATTGGTTAGTGGGTTTTGCAAGGAAGGATGGATCAACTATGCTGAAAACATCATAGAGACAATGATTCAACAAGGTGTAGATCCCGATTTAGTTACGTACAATGCTTTGATGGAAGGATACTGCTTACAAGGAAAGATTGACAGTGCATCAGAGCTCTTAAACACCATGATTCAAAGGGGATGCCACCCTGATGTTTACACTTATGGTATTCTAATAAATGGGTATTGCAAGAGTGGGTGTTTAGATAAGGCCATGCTATTGTTAGAGAAAATCCCTACTATTGGCCTAAAACCAACAGTTGTTGCCTACAACAGTATGTTGGATGGCTTATTTCAAGCTGGGAGATGTGCTGATGCCGAGAAGCTTTTTAACAAGATGGTACAAAATCAAGAATATCCAAATCTTGTCACCTACACTATTATTTTGGATGGCTTCTGCAAGAATGATCGTGTTCCTCAAGCTCTTTCTTTACTGAGGATGATGGAAGCTAAAAGTCCTATCCCCGATATCATTAGCTATAATACTGTCATAAATGGACTCTTCAGTGTTGGAAAATCAAGTAGTGCAATAGGACTGTTCAATGCTCTTCCATCTAAAGGTCTGCTGCCAGATATGATAGTTTTCAGAAGTATGATCAGTGGGCTTTGCAAAGAAGGCTTGCTAGAAGATGCAAAAGGCATGCTCATGAAAATGGAGAAAAATGGTGTGATGCCAGATAGCGTGGCATACAATGTACTGATCCGTGGGTTACTGAAAAAGAATGAGCATTGTGATGCTATATTACATTTGGATGAGATGTTAAAACTTGGATTCTTGCCTGATGATGCAACTTGCGAAATTTTACTGAAGTCAATCTTACGAGAAGGGCCAGAGTCCACTCTGCTGCATATGCTTCTGAATATCAAAGATAATTACCAAAAGTCCAGATCTTGAGTGTTTTCTGGCAGTCCTGTGGTTAATTGTAGGGTTAAGTGTGACTACTTTTATGTGTATTTTATCACCAACATTCTTGAATGCTTGGCATTATTAGCTTTAGGTTGCTAAGACTAATTATACTTGAATCGAGTTCAATTCCACTGCGAATATGAATGGTACCCATTAGCCCATTATGTGATTTTGAATTAAAACTGTTACTCCCTCTATCTTACAAAGATCTTTCAAATTTAAAATTTTCCATACAAATTCACTTTTTTCTCAGTAATTGTGCCAGAGTAGCAACTGTTACAAGCAAGTAGATGATATTGCGGAAACGAGGTGTATTAGCAAGTGATGATGAGAAGATGATGATGATCAAGATCTTTGTACAATGGCTCCTCTTGTTTGACCCAAAAAAAAAATATTACATGGTGTGGCAAAACCCTTTTGGGTTACCAGGTATCTATATTTTCTATGCAACGCGTAACTAGTTCCTCTAGTGATTTTTTTCAAGCCAAGTCTCTGGAAATTATCGTATACAGTCTAATTAAATAAAAAATTATGGTATAATGCCTATTTTTTAAACTATATTTCGTCTCTTTTTTGCCCTTTGTCACTCTTGCTTGCTCTGGTGGTTGCCAGGACATACGTCTTCATGTTCCTCCGTAGTGGGTCCCTCGCGAACGCCCTCCTCCTCTTGCTCACCTGGCTGATTTTATTTCGTTTTGTGTAAAGAATAAATGATTAAGGGCCGGAGGGAGTACAAAGTAATGAGAAAATCTTTTCTAGTTAAAAACATAAATTTGGGAAGAACTTTTCACAAAACAAATAGTAGTTTATTTTTGTGATCTCACGAGTCTAGTGAAGAGAAACAATACATGGCACTACAAATTGAAGCTTTCAACGCCAACAAAATTGAAATACATTTAATCTCAAATAAGTAAAATTTCAACATGATTTATACATATTTTAAAGGCAAAAGGTGATGGCGTAATTGGGCTGACCACTGTTGCAGGTGAAAGTGCTTGGCTTGTCATCATAAGCATAACTATACGCATGGACCCCGTGCAACAGTACTGCGGTTGCCCCAGTGCCAAACATGCACTCTTGCATCCCACCACTGCCCTGTTTTCATCCCTCAATGCCAGCTCCGTGGAGCACTTGGCATTCGCGTCCATCGGGCAATCCGTCCGGCGGTAGTTTGGGTTGTTTGGCACGATGGAGACTGAGAGGTTGAATCTGTCCACCAAGCTGACGCCATAGAAATCCTTGCCTTGGAAACCCCCCAGCGTGAATTCTACTAGAGTCGCCACTTGACCGGAGCCGAAGTCGGCGGTCGCGCACAATAACTTGCCGGTTTGGGTGCTACACTCTGTTCTCGCCCAAAACCGGCATGTCCGTTGGGTGGGGATTGCGAATGACGTGGATGCACCGTGTGCCATTTCGAACCCAGTCGGGGCTTGAGAACTGCCGCCTCCTCCGGTAAGAGTAGCAGGCCAGATTGCTCTCTGGGCTATGCATCTGGACAAATCACCCGGCCTGGATGGGATGGATCCGGAGTTTTTTCAGAAATTTTGGGACGTTTTTGGCCCAGAGGTAACTAGCTTTATCTTGGAGTGTTTGAATGGCGGTGTACATTTTTTCAGAATCCTTGAATGATGGTACGATAGTTCTGATACCTAAGAAGCAGGCCCCCAAGACTGTGGGTGATCTTCGCCCCATAGCCCTTTGTAATGTCCCTTACAAGATTATGGCTAAAATCTTGACTAATAGGATGCAAGGTGTGTTGCAGAGTGTCTCACATTTGTTCTTTGCTAAGGATAGCTTGCTCTTTTGCAAAGCGACTTTGGACGAGGCTTTGGCGGTGAAACAGTGTCTCCCTGAGCATGAACGGATCTCAGGCCAGACGGTCAACTTCCATAAATCCAGCATATGCCAGTCTTAACACACCTGCGGAGCTTAGATCTTTCTTGGCAGAATTATTCGGTGTCTCCCAAGCTGAGAACTTTGGCAAGTATGTACCTTGGCCTCCCCTCTTTCCTATGCTACAGTCTTAACACACCTGAGTGCGTTCCTACTTCCTAACTCACTTTGCCAGGCTATTGAGTGCATGGTGAACTCTTTTTTTGTGTCTTGGGAAGGAATGTCAATTCCCAAGAAGTGTGGAGGTATGGGGTTCAAGCAAATCCATGCCTTCAACATCACCATGATTGGTAAGCAAGGATGGAGATTGCTCACTCGGCCCGAGGCTCTTGTTGCCCGGGTTTTCAAGGCTCGTTGTTTTCCCAAAACCATCTTTCTTAGAAGCAAGATTATTTAGGCAATTCTCTAAGCTACTGTTGTTGGCCGGCGTAGCATTCTGGCAGCCCAAAATCTGATCTGCTGATGATGTTAACCCCCGGTTTGTGACCAACCTTCTGCAGCAACATGAAAAAATTACTTGTGTGTGATTTTATGGGGGAGGCTTCTCACCCTTCTGATTTTACAGGTTGGGGCAAGTTTTGGAAACTTTGGGTGGCCCCTAAAGTTAAGGTGTGTGTCTGGGGAGCTACTCGTATTGGCTTTGGATAGGAATGGGTTAGGCATTGCTAAAGTTTGTGCGATTTGTACGTGGTTGTCAAACGGAGTCTGTTGAGCATGTCTGTTTACAGTGTCCATTTGCAGTTGCTGTATGTATGGGATAAGGTGAGGATTGGAGGAATGAACTTCTTCTTTTTTTACAGTGTCCAGAGGGAGGTTTCCAAGTAGCTAGTGGCTGAAGCAAAGGCATATATGCAAGGAGACTCTTTTGAGTAGTTTTGGCTTTGGATAGGAATGGGTTAGGCATT